TTTATTGTGTCATTTGGTGGCATCAATGTGTGCATTTGATACAGATAATGGAGCAGTTGCTTTAGGGCCTCATATACAGTATAGCCCTTAAGGTCTAATAATGAGATCCTCGACACCCCCCTCTCCACACAGAGCCCCCCCACATATCAAATCCCAATTTAACCCCTGCCTATATTTAAATAGATTTGACCAGTGATTATAAAATCGGCACATTCAGCAATGTATTCACCGTTAGACATCGCTACATTATCTTGGTAAGGTACATTCAAGTTCATTTGAATTCTCTGTAACAAAATATTTTTTAAATCTACAGGTGCTGAGTCAAACCAAGGAAGAGGGACTGAGATGAGCAAAAAATGTTGGTCATGTTTCAAGCTACATAAGTGACTGTCATAATAAATAATACAGGTTTAAAGTTTGGTAAAAGATAAGACAACCTAAGACTGGAGCAAATGCAATAGGCAGTTTATAACCATGTAAATGCCATTAACATCTCAAGTAAAGACAAATCAGCATGAGCACTGATGGTGTCCACATAGAAATGCTGGCCCTTTCTTTTTGCATAGTTTTCTTATGAGGAGGTATATGCTTGTTGTAATGAACCACAATTACAAGCGGGCACCATTCATTTATCCACAACACTGTCCTGCAAATAGTTCACAATAGGAAAAACCTAGCGGTTAACATATTAAGAAGTTATATAATATAACATGCTTACATGCTTTACGCGCTTGGGCTTATGCAGCAACCTGTTGCCATGGATGCATTCTGGGTTTAAGCTCAACAAATATAAATTAATCTCTGAATGCTCAAGGAAACAATGTTTCCTGCTGGGAGATGTTAATCTTTAGAAAACAGTCTTATTGCTTACAGACAGTACTGTTGGCAATCCCTCTGACTATTTCTGTCTGTTAGATGGAGTATGCTAGAATGTCAAAAATTAACAACAAAAAAACATTAACATTTTAAGCCACTCATTAATACTTTTCAACAGATTGAGCCACAAATAAGAACACTTTGAAAATGCCATAAGCCAGGCTTGTGTTTATATAAGCGTTGATATTTTGTTGCAGTTTGCTTCTTATATTGAAAACCCACATGTTCTATTTGAATTGACAGAAATATATCTGGCTGCCAATTTAGTCAACACCTTACTGCAGCCAGAGAGGAGAAATACGAAGGCTGTAAAAATCAGTAGGATGTATGTTGGAATATTCTAAATGTTCCTGCTACAAAAAATGTTTAGCAAACATTTTATAAGATCATAAAATTACACATTTTCAGAATGTCTGCATCACCTGATCTGCTCAACAGAATTGGACAGTCAGAGCTCTAAAGTTTAACAAACCTCACTATGTTTACATCTGCACACCCTCCTAGGTTTTTTAGGTTGCACCAGTTAATAGACCTCGCTCAAGGCAAAGGGGTGTAGAACTATTCTGAGAATGATGCAATGTTCCCAGACATCATGCAATAATAAGAATAACAAAGATGATATATATCTGGCCTAAACAAGCATATTTCTGCTGAATTAACTTGGTGAAAGGCAGGGGGGACAGGAAACGGAGCGGAAAGGATTGTAGGCATCAATAACAAGAACCAGCCTTTGGACAACAGTCCCAAATGTTGTATATTTTAAAGCTTTGTATCTAACAAGTGCTGTTGAACAGACATATGCACAAACATATAAAAAGGCCTTTTCAATGCAGACATTTCAACTGGTAAAATCAGCTAATTGTGTAACTAATGTAAATGATGTTGCACTGAAGTGTCGAATGGAGCAGTGACAGTATTAGAGTGAGTCATTATGCACAATACCAGTTAGCCATTTTAATATTTACACCTGTGATTTTTCTACTGCGACATGACCCAATGTCAATATTTCCTGAATGAGGTCAACCCCAAGCACCTCGTGACAAATTACTATCAGACTCAACTCCGCACAACGTCAAAGAGGAAAGACTTATACTTGGTTAACATGGGAGTCAGAAAGATGAGGTGTCACTTGGAAGGGCTGTGGAGCCGGATAAGGTGGTTATTTGCACTTTCCCTCTATTTATTCATTTACAGCAAGAGTCAATAAAAAGCATGTGATGGCTTTGACAGTTTTGCCAAACAAAGAAACGGATACCCCCGAATTTCAGGGACAGCTGGTGTCATAATACTGCTGCCAGCACTGTGTTGGCATGTTATAAACAGGGGTTACATCAATGATATCAGGAAACAAACCAGCAAATGAACTGAGGAAAGCAAGAGATCACTTGTCGAATCTTATTATAATACTGAGGAAAGAAAAGGCCTCCAATTCAAATACTTTTTCTTTTTTCGGTTAAGCACATTAAGGCTCTGGCCGTTATTTGATCGTTTATGGCAACAAGCTAAACATTTACATAAAAAGGGATAATGTTTATTGTAAATGTAACTATTTTGAGTTTAACGTAGAAGTGCTTTTAACAGTCGATATAAATTATAAAAAGATTTAACTTATCCTAGATGAGCTTTCATACTTTGTGAATGTTAGTCACGGTTGTTTTGCTATCAAAGGTGGGGCCAGAGATAAGAAACGACAGATTGAAAGCGCAATACATTCTACTAAGTAAATCTCAATTGAGGGATAATAGTGGCATTTGACAAATGCACTTACTCGGGATGGAATCACGTGTAAATCATGCATAAACCAAATCATCTGCATAACATTTCAGGAGGATCGTTTTTGAGATTGTATTCATCACAGCCCTCCTCTTTCTGTTTGCAGAAAAGAGGGAAACAACTTACAACACAGTGGCAAGAAACTCAACGAGAGAAGATCATCTTTAGTTTAAAAGCAGTTGGGCAAGCAAGTTTGGTCCATTTGAGTTCTGAATGGAAGCCCCCGTGCCCATGTTTAACTAATTGAGCTGATCGGGCAGGACGCATGACCTGCTGCAGAGTTCCCGTTAGCCGGTAATTACCGGACTATGACTGGTCAAATATGCTGAAGACCAGCAAATCTAAATCTCTCCGGTCAAAGTGTCCGGTCAAAATAATTTCCATTTAGCGCAATACCGCATCAGTTGTGCAACTTGCGCTACTTATGTGACAGACAAGAATAGTCAATTCTAATGTCTAACACTTAATGTGGAGAAAGAGATGTCCTGTATGGGTTGATTGTGCGTTGATCTGTTGGTAATGCCTCGAGGTTCCGGTGGGCATGTAAACAAATGCATAATGCTGCGCTATACTTTGCGGCCTCACCCGGTTGCATAGCAACGCTTATTGTTTAGGTGTCTTTTAATAAGCAGGTAGTCACATCATTAGCTAGAACTAGCTAGATCTGATCGATATGGACATAAACGCGAGTGAAGTCTAATCTGACGGGAGAGAGAGATCAGCTGCTGCTGACGAGTCGACACGCAGCTCCGCATGATCACATGCAGCGGTGAGCGGACAAAACACACACTTCCGGTTAGAATATCACACGTAGCTATTTTAATTACCTCTCAAACTACCTAATCTAGTTATAGATATGTTTAGTTTTACTGTCGGGTCACTCATTACTGATCCGCGAGCTGCATGATACTGACGTGCTGTCAGGAGAGGGAGAGAGCGCTCCGTTTATTTATTTGTTATTGTAAGTTACTGTTCAGGAACGGGAACTCTGGCCTGCTGTTTGTGTGCTCTCAAATGAAAGAGCAGACCAACGGGTATTGAAATTGTTTCATTTCAGAATCAATGTGTAATCTGATCAGTTGCTGTGATAGCACTATTAGAATGAATATCAACCGACAACAATTAGTCAAGTGACTATCTGTTCAAAGTGGCAATAAACTTCAGCAAAGCCATCAGAATGTTTTAATAAAAAAGTAAATTACAGCAACTCTAAAAGGCTAGCACTTCAAAATAAAAGTTCAAGAAATAAAACATCAATAGAGCGCCAGACTAAAAGTAGAGTGCCGCTTGCATTTCACTAACCAGCAGGCCTAGCATTGCAATCCAGCATGGGGGGGGGGGGGGGGAATTGCAGTTACTCTCTGCATCCTGTTGCCCCATCAGGACATTAGACTATTGTTCTTTTCACCAACGCAAAATGGATGGAACTTTCAAGAATTCGTAATCATGTCACCAAACATTACAGGAAGTAATTAGGAAAAGTAATGCTTTAAATATATATATTAATATATACAAGAACAAAGCTAAAGTATTCAGTTAGCGTGTCACTAAGGTGAGCCAGTGGAGCAGGGTACAAAATAAGCCACTTACCAAATGCTGGTAAAATATTAAAGTGGCATGTAGATTTGCTTTGCAAGAGCATCATCTATTGAGTACATTGGAACCTACATTATGTTTTTTGGCAGGTCAAGAAAGCGTTTATTTCACGGTGCAGTGAAATTAATAGGAACAAAATTTGCTCTATGATATGCTTTAATTTAATTTAATAATGGAAATTGTGTCTTAAATACTAAAATATGTCAGCAGATTTGACATGTTCCTTGTACTCTCGCAACCTATGCTATGTGTGTGCCAGTATGAAAAACACAGCCACACCGTGTGTATGTGTACACAAGACATGAGTCACTGCTCCCCTGTCAAAACAAACAGTCAGTGTTTATGCAGCGTGTCACACACAACTCTAAGGGAACTAAATTACTGTGTCAACAAATACGGTAATGTATTAAATGTGACACTCAAGAGGTTTACTATCCAATGAGTACCAACTCTCAAAGATTCTACACAAAGTGGGTTTTATGAAGCCCCAAAAATATCTATGTGCAAACTGTGTGTTTACTGTGAAAGCAGCACTTTAAAGAATTTGGATCATATCCAAAAGCCAACATGTTAAATCACCGATGGCAACATGTGTCTTTGCATCCTCACAACTCCTGAATATAAATCCATGAGGATGCAGCATGAAAAAAGGAAATGTTCTGATTTGACTATCAAAGATAAATATGCAGTAATTACACCACAAACCACAAACTGTCATCAGACAATTCAAAATGAACTATATTTCACCTTCAACTTCCAACAAAATCAGAAGAGCAAAGCCAGCGTTGACCAATGCATTATAAGAATATGCAACAGCAAAATCCCCGCTTTTTAGGGTGTGTGGGAGCAAGATTACGTTTTTTAATGATTTAAAAATCTTCCATCTTCCTTTTGAAACAACCCATCCTCCTACCTAAGCTGGTTAGGGATTCTCTTATCTCTTTGTAACTCTCTCCACCCCATCCTCCTGCTTCACTTTCAGTGCTTTGGGGGAGCTGGGAGAGCTGCTGAGGGAAGGGGAAACGGGTGTTATTCACATCAAAATAAAGCACAGCAGTTCCTTTAGAGTACAAAACAGGACAAGAACACACACTGTCAGGAGATTCATTGTTAAAGACTGGATTCCTGGACTGGCTGTCAGGCCTTGCAATCCTCAAATAATTCAGATTTTATAATAATAAAAGAATATAGAATAATATTGTCATTCTTTGCCTGCATCCATTAAAATTCTCTAAGAGCACTTTTATAATTCAGGATGATTTTTAGCAGCTTTTTCTCTGAGAGGACCAGGTTTCACGAAACCAAGAAGGCCTTACAGGAATTACAGAAAGTGTCTTTCTGGCAACGAGAAATCTTAATATAACAAGAAATCTCGACTATTATCTATTAAATACCGCATATATTAGATTAAAAGTTATACGGAAACAGATTTCCCTGAAGATTGCTAGTATTATTATACTCTTTATATATCAGAAGATCAAGCAAATTAGGTCTCCATAAAATTATCTTCAATATGTATTTAAACAAACCCTAGTAACATCAATATCAAAGAAACACCGTGGCAGACAAAACGCACCAACAGGTTTCGGCCTAGAGATTATGACGTTATAGGTCAAAAGTTATGATGTGTTTAAATTCAGCCATTGCCAATGATTGATGCTTTCAGGATGCTTTACTGCAGCTGTTTTACCACGGTCACATGACGGCTCACTTTCACTCGATTTAAAATGCACAACCACAGCCCCAAAAGTCCAGTTTCTCCTGTTTGCCAAGTGTAACTACAGTCTTGTGTATATTGCAGTGCTACCAAACACGGGGGACTACACAGCAGCACTGTGACTGAGTGTTTTCAGTTTAAAGACTGGCAGAAGACGCAAGCGGCTGTGTTGCACCGTAGGAAAATACTTGCATATTAACCGCTACTGGTAACACCGTTTAGCTCAAATGTTTAACCCGTCCATAGTACCATTCACACCTAAAAGTAATTCCACGGTTGTTTTTATCTATGTAGATACAAGAGGATTAGTATAAACTTACAAGGGTTTAGGACTTACAATCTTTGCATTTCTTACAATTCAAAATGATAATATCTGTTATGAAAAGGGCCTGCTGCTATAACTAAAGCGAAACATGTGTTTGCTTTTGTATAGACAGAAAAAACAAAGATGTTTTACTTACGTTCAAATTTTTTTTTACCACTGACTGATTGAAAGTTAAAATGTCTTTTATTGCATAATCGAACTTTACTTTTGTTACAACAGTAAAGCTTATAATGATTCTTTTGAGGGCTTGAGACCCTCTCAACACCAGTGTGCTCTGTGAATATGTCCAACTGGCCGAGTGTTCAGGGTGATCCGAGTCTTCCACTACATCACGATTCCTAGATAATGTAATTTTTTTAAATAAAACCCTGCATGTTGTGAGGCGAGATAGAAACCAAATCTCAAACTGATCATATGTGTCTGTAAGTTTACTGTGGTACCATATGCAGACAATAGGGAAAACTATTAATCCTGTACGCCTTTTCATTAGTGGCTTTAGAGAGCGAAATTTTATATAACGTCACAAAATATGCCAGCATTTTTGTCTAATGTACTGGATAGTACATTGTGTTACATTTGACATAATGTACAATATATGAAGTGAAAAGGAGACTGCCACATTCTGGTATAGCAGTCAGAATTTTCAATACTAAAAAGCACAATAAAAAAAGTGCCAAAACCCATAAATTAGAGACTTCGAGATACTTATTGTTGACACCTTTGATATTTTTATCCTTAACTAGTCACACCATAGTTATGTTTGGAGTCCCACTGGATCTAGTTGCAGACAATTAAATACTCTTACAAACCCTTTACCGTCTTGTTCAAGACTGCATAATATAAGGGTTGTCGACGAACCAGTATTCACAGGGGTAAGTGGGATGTCTAAAACCAAGAACTAGGTAGTGTGGAGGAGTTTGTAGGCTTTTTTTCTGTTAATTTTATTGTTGTTGTGATGAATATGAGTCTAGATTATACATGTTCCTCTTTCGTTTACATGTTAGATTACTAAATATCTACAAACACGGCCTCCCTTTTTCTTAGTAACAGAAATGCTCATTTATATATTTCTCATGAGAATATGAAAATAGGTTTTGACCATTGATGACCATTTCTTTATTCCCTTTTACCTGCCTTATCCTTTATAGCTACATACTTACTTTTATAGCTTTGATTCCAGATTTGGTGATCTGTGTCATCTTGGCCTTGGAGATGGGTGGCTTGTACTCATTCAATGAGTACAGCTAAAAAATTGAAATGAGACAAAAGACAAAACAATGTGTTATAATATGTAACTACTAAAACATAACATAAATCACTAAACTAACAAGCAGTGGCCCAAAGCATCATCCCCTCTCGTCTGTGAACCTTAATTTTGAATATTTGTGGTGAGAGCCAACGGGTTCATACTGAGACGATGTAACGATAGTTGTCTTGCCTCTGACTCGTATGTTATTTGTTTTGATTTTATCATAATACCATACACGATGTAAATGCTGTGGAATCATATTCGTGTTGTAAATTACGAGTGCATGGTGAGGTCAGCATTAACCCTGATATACATTGCCAAAGCACAGACTTTCTTGTCAATGCATTCAAATGGGTCAGCTATTAGCTGTTAGCCTTCTAATGGCTAGCTATATAATTGAACAAGGTTATCTCAAGTCATTTGTATTCTGTGCAACAGCTACATTGCAGGAAGCTAACGCTAGTACAGTCAGATTTAAGTGGGAATTATTATCTGGTAAAAGGGATTTGAGTGCGGAGTAGTTCACGCACGTCCATATTAGTTAGTTAGCTCTCCAAGTTACGGTTTGGCTAACTTGTTGTAGCTAGCGGCAGCTAGTTAGTTAACGTTAGCACCAGTGTGGAAATATTTGCTCATTGACTGGCAACCAAACAAGATGTGTGTTGAGAAATATATTCTCTTCACAACTATAGATAGTACAGTTAATATAATTCAGAATCAGAATAGCGTAACGTTATCGCTGTAATGTTGTGAAAAGCCTGAGGCCTTGTGTGGGACTGCCCTCCTCTCCCTTTCTGCTATTTGATGCTAATGTTAGCATACGAGCTAGCGCAAACGTTAATAATAAAACATTTTCTACTCTCGGTGTTTTCAAGGTTGCGAAACGGGTAAAAACAAACCTCATTGTTAAATGATTTGACGGCCTCCATAGTGTTGCACGTAGATGACTGCAAATGTTTAAAGATATCACCTCAATAACCGGTTACAGACATGCATGCTCGACGTTTGGCGAGATGGAGGAGACTGCCAATATGGCGCATAACCTCAATAGACAATCTGTAGAGACCTGGTAGAGACCGACGACCCCTAGCGTCAGTTTCGGGAGGCTAAAGGAGTACCAAAAAGTCCCTTTGCTTTCTTGTAGCTATACAAGCTATGATCCAAATAAACATCACGAGAATTATTGTACACGAAGTCAGAATCATATATGTTTGCAATGACCACATACCATTTTACATTTTTTTGATAACACTTTATTTCCCTGTATACAAATAGGCACAATCTGAAATGTCTTTCATACCAGAATCGAGATCACAGAGAATCAATGTCACACATCCATGTACAAATATTCACAGTTAATATTTAATATGAACAACATATAAAACATAGTTTATAAAAAATGCATCTTTGTGCCTGGAGCTTGGTTTGGCCACCTTCTAGCTCTCCTAAACCTGTTGCTCTCTGGAGCTGTGGCTGTGCTTATAAGTGATAGAGGGGAAAATCTACACTATAAAAGCCTGCGGTGGTCTATCTTAAAGGACAATATTAACGGTTTTTTTTCCTGAGAATGATCAGTCATGTATTCTATGCTAACAATACTACTACATCCTACCTTAAGTCAAGTAGACAATATATGTTGGTATTAAAGTATTTTTCACGTCAATATAAAATATAAATTAAGTTGTTGATGTTTGTGTTTGAAAAATGCCAAAGCAGGTTTGCATTACGGTTTTATGTTCTAGATTTGATTTCTTATGTCTTTGCTTTAAATTACGTGAGAGTACAATCAATAGAAACTTTGACTCTTTAAAAGTGAAAACCCAAAAGTTATCACGACAACATTTATTCAGTTAGTGGTGGCCCCAGTGTTCAGTGTGGAATGATAAGTAGGATGATATCAGTTACAGGGCGAAGAACATGCACCAATCATTTAAAACAGTCGCTGTAAAACACATGTGTAACAGGCAGTGAAGGTGCATGGCACCAATAATTGACTGAACAGTAACAGTTTAAATGTGTTTACTACTGATGAAGTCAAAGTAGATAAAACATACAGTAAAAACAAGTGTTTCCACGCAGAAAACAATGGATCCATTATTACAACGTACTCCATCATTCCAAAAATATGCACAGGTTCACATAATTACATCATAAAAACAATCTGTAAAATGAGCTGATCTTACAAATCGAACAGTAAAAGTAATACTAAGACACGTTTCACATTTTAACGCGACCTGCTAATCATATAATGTCCAATAAGGAACTAAAAACACAACTCTTCATTGATCCAGTTACTTGTTGAATAGCACTTACAAACCACTGACATGGAACAGTAGTCTTAATTGAATACAGCAGTGTGTGTGTCCACAGTATGTGAGTGTGAGGTCTCTGAGTCCAGTAAAAGCAGTCACGAGGATTCCTTATAAACTGGTCTCGACAACAGGAACAGCAATGACTGACGCTGCAGCTTTTGTGGCCTCTGGTTCCACCTGCTGGTCATGTTTAACGCAGATCTCCTGCAGCAAGGGTCCATTGGCCTCTTTCCACTCTCTGAACTTTTCTGAGGTAAGCCCGGGTTCAGTCAACACCTGCTCTATTGCATTTAGGTCTGCCTCTTTTGACTGTGCAACAAAAGGAGAGAAAAAAAATAGGAAACAGTAAAATAATTGCACAAAGCTCCCCAATTCACAAATAATCGACATACTTCTGCAATTCACACACAAGCTGTAATGAAATGGCGTGCAATAAACAGACCATAAAACTGAATATTTACCTTTAATGTGCTGTTGAGGGTCCTGATATGGTGCAATTTATCATTGACAGTGTGGTTTTTACAGCGTTTTACAAAGGAGGCCCTAAACTCCCTTTTCGTGGATGGTTTACGGTCTCCTATTGGCGAGAGGCTGGCCTCTTTTAGACGAATATACAGCTTCTCCATCTCATCTGAGCTGTTCCCACGATCCCCTGCAACAAGATAACACAGTACTGTATCATCACAATATACTGTAACTTCACAAAGATTATATTTAGAAACTGTCTGTTTTATAACAGAAAACCTTACTTACAGGGGCCCTATAATGCTTTTTTAGGTTTTACCTTTCCTATAGTGTTTAGGTTTTTGTGCATATAAATGGTCTGCAAAGGGTAAAATCCCAAAGTTCGCTCCAGAGGGAGTTTCTCTTCAACACACTATCCCCTTCCTGAAACGCCTCCTTTGTACTTCTTAGTTTACTTCCACAGTGACATCACTACGCAACACTCATGCTTCTATTGCATCATCTAAAACACATACGTGATAGGCTAAGGGGCGGTCCATTTCTAAGCAGTTGACCAATTATATCTGCCTTGATAAACAAAGTTGTGAGAAACAGGAAATCTTCTCTGCTAGCACAATTATTTTACAAGTGGAAATGACACAGTAGAAATCTAAAATGCAATCTCCTTTACATAAAATGCAAAAAAAAACAGAATTAATAAAAAAACTAAAACAAATTCTCACCTTCACTCTCAGCCCCTGAAACGACCCTTGTAGCATTCCCCTCCGCAGCAGGGCTTTCTTCGTGGGACCCCGCTTCCAGAGAATCCTGATGAGAGGAGCTCTCCGACACCTGGGGGTCCTCCTCTTCCTCAACCTCCCCTTGTGGGAGCCGGGGTGAGTGTACTTGAACTGAGCACACCACTGCCGTTTCCCCAGTTGGAGGGGGTGCTTGGGAGACCAGGTCCAACCAGGACTGCCGGTGCTTGGCGAGCGAGGAGGTGGAGCTATGTGATGTCATGGTGCTGACGGGGGAGGAGAGTGAGCCGGTGGCTTCGCTGGGGACTGCGGAGGAATAGGGGGGAGGAAGTGTACCCTGGAAAACAAATTCACTACGGTCAGACTTAGTTATCCCACATCAATTCTAAGTTTGGCTAAACTTGTATTAGACTTGGAAATGTGCAACCAAATGAAAAATATACAGACCTGATTTGTGCTTCCAGGTGGGACGGGTGCATCCACGGAGTCCCTCAGGGTTTGTTCAGAGTACGGTGGAGGGGGAATCTCTGTGCTTTCAGCTTCTTCGTGGTCACTGGCTTCACTGTAACACTCTGCTTTGAAAACACACGCAAAGTGAGATTTCACAAGATGATACATAAAGCCAGAATCCTTATCTTGCATATTTCAGATCAGCCTCATCTTATTTCCCCTCTAACCCTAACCCTCTCGTTGTTGCTTAATTGACTGTTATATACTGCTGGTAAGTGCTGCAAGTGTTCAACAACTGCTTCTGTAGCAGCTATTGAATTAATTCAGAAAAGCATTTATGTGAAGCCTTGAAAAAGGCCCCTTCTCTAAGTAATAAAACATGTTGTTGTTGACAAAACATTCAAGAGCAGAACATTTCTGATTGTCATGGGTTCTCACCAACTGCCGTGTTTTGTTCTGTTGGCTCATACTTAATGGAGGCTAACCCGAGCTTATTCAACCACCTAAAAAAAAAGAAAAAGAGTATTCAGGTCAATTACATTTGACAAAACAAGACAATACTTTTTCAGGATGAATACATACAATGTTGAACTCTTGTGTGACTTACAGGTTCATGTCTTCATGGCTCTCAGCAGCGAAATAAAACATCATGACTTGTGGGTGGCAGGCCTTGAACGCACTGCATCAGAAAAAGTAAATGGAACAGTTTAGGCATAATGAAAGGAGTTTCTACTGGAACTTATGTAAAGTGTGAGATTAATGATATCTTTATTTCACTTCATTAATCATTTTCCGGTGGTTTGAAGTCTATAGACTGTCTATCTTTCTAGGTCATCAAGGTCTTTTAATAGATAACAGATATTTCCTTTTAAATTAGAACCACTGGTGGTGTGTGGCTTATAGAATCTGACTGAGATTAACCGGAAACTACGAGCTTACTGTTTCTTCTTGCATTCTATGGCTCGGTCGATCATGAAGTTTGCGAGGTCAATGTAGCCCTCAGCCTTTTCCGCCTGTGACACACAGATTGAACAACAGTGAGCGTTAAAACGAAGCGTAAAAAGTCAAAACCACTTCCTTGACAATGAAACCTGCTGTTTCAATTGCAGGAGGCTAACTTCTTCTATTTTCTCCCACTGTGTTATGATGACAGACTAGATCAGATGAGGACACGGTGCCAGTAAATCAGGAGCACTGGTTACATGATGGCAGTATCGGATTCTGACAGGGTTATTAGTGGCACCGTCACATTCAGGAAACTCAGTGACACTGTGTGCCAGTTCCTACAGAGACAGCTGTGGCAGAATGACTCATCTGCTGCCTTACAGTGAGTGGGCTTGTGTGACACAATAAGTGCTGTGCTGGTGATGTGTTAGAAAAATGCTGTTTCAAGATTGTTTTATAGGGGTTTTGCTGTAGTTTGTAAAAAGAAATTAAGCAACTACTACTGAACTGAAATAACATTAGAGCTGATACAATGGATGGATTTGTGCCTGTAGCTTTGTTTTGGCTTAATGTTGCAAGTAAGACACTGCAGTACTTTATATATAACTTTAAAAAACAAATGAAATACATCAGTGTGTAGATTCTCATTTAGAATAAAATGATGGATCTTGTTTAAAACATCTGTAAAAAAGTAATTTTCTTTCATACTTTCTTTTAAAAGCTTGCATGAGAAAAGAAACGTGTCTATATATTATATATAATCCAATATGATTTTTTTTCTAATTACAGTCAACATATATACAGATCACAATTGAATGCATGTCACTGTTTACTGCGTCAAACAGCAAACAGATATGTATTATTTACAACTCAAAAGAGTTACTGCCCGACTTCATTTTTGTTGAAAGTTCATGAATTTTTAACATGGTTTAAACCAGTTTTCTTTACCTACGCTGCATACCTCCACTGTTACAACACACACATGTAAGGTCCAATGACGCACTTGGTGTAAGCCTTAGTCACTGCAACGAATATGGGCATTGTAGTTTATTTTGAGACAATCCCAACTACATCATCCTGCTGTTTTATTACTCACTACTAGAGCACTAAATGTATACATCCACTACTGAAGATAGTCCCCTACAAATGCACGTATTACTCCTGTTTGCCAAAAGCTATAAAACAATATATATTTTCATGTTCAGGTTTTTGATCCACTGACAAAATCATAGCTGCTTTGTTGATTTGTTGACATAATAGAAATACAGAATATCCCCACCCTTATTATTTAAAACAGCAGCATAGAGGGAAGTATATTACCAATAATATTGTAACATGTATAAAATAAAATATATTATATATATATATATATATATATACCTAGTAATGTGCCAACCAGAAAGAAGAACATAGACAATTCGAAAGAGAAAGGAAGTTCAAAAGTTACCAAATCAGACAGAGAAACAGACACTTGAGAGTAGCTAGTGGTTTGCAGAACTAAAGATGCTGACGTTTTCTTGTGCACAGTGATGAGCTGCGTGACAGAAGCTAAACATATATGCATGCATCATAAAAGGTGTTTAACTCACCAGCTGGTTGTTGTACCAGTACAGAGCCGTCTTCTTCAGCACAAACCAGTACTTCTTCCATTTGATGCCCAGGAAGCCTTTGCTCTCTTTCTTCCTGTACAGCCAGCCCTGGTGGTCCGGCTGACCCAGCTCTTTGACCGAGATCCGCCTCCTGCTCATTGTACCATTGCCTGTGTGCACAGAAAACAAACTAAAACACTGAGACCTCCTCCGCTTTTTGTCCGCAGAGAAGCAAAACCAGTTTTGATCGCGAATATAGCGTTAGAGGAAGCAACAAGTTGCAAAAAACGAAATGTCAAACAGACCAAACATTTCCATTCCAGTCAAAATAGGCCAATGCTTTTGGTCAATAAGCAAAGAAAATTCTTAAAATAACACCTAAATCTAGAATTCAAAAGTGCAAGCCACATTTAGCCTACCTGTTCCAGTTATGAATCAGCAAGATATAAATAACAACATAAAATCTTGAGTTATCCTCTCAAAGACACATACGCAGAGGGCTTAAATAGCGAAGTGAGCAGAACTGATCGTGCCTAAAGACCTCTGCACACACCAATTGCCCTGCCACTTCTAAAACGCCCACAGAGGGTCGAAATTACAGAGACAAGGTGATGGGAGCCCAAGAGTGACAACTTACCTCCTCGAATCTTCCTCTTGGATTTGTGTCGGAGGGAGACCTTCAGAAGGAGACAAAAGTTAGGTCAGAGACGAGAGGAAGACATGTGCTAGTCTCAGACCTAAACGCTAAGAAGAAGAGGCTCTCTATAACATCCTGTTTCTCACATCGATTGTCACATACATTTTCAAGCTGCTGTTCTCTCTATCTCCCCACACACACATTAACACACCCCCACTCCTCTGTAACATCCTGAACTGTGACTCTCTCTGCTCTCCTTTTCTCTTAGCCTTCAACTAAATACACCAAGAGAAACCAGACTGCACAAAAACCAGCTAGGCGTATAAACCCCTTCTTCCTATAAATATTTAACTTTTCCATCATAAAATAGAAGAAGCAGAAGTAGTTGAGAGAGAGAGCAGGGTATCTATAACATCATTTGTGAGAACAAGGCAACCTCTGCCTGATTGAATGTCAGAATTTAAAAAAGGAAGGAACACTTACAGGGTTGTAGTCATCGGCAGCCATGGAAGGAGGCACAGATATGGGGAAGGCAGCCTGTTGAATAAAACAAAAAGATATCAACAGATGCTTAGGTTGACAATTGCACGACACACAGATTCATGGGCAATGCTTTGCTCTAACTTGACAAGAGGAAGTGATGTCATGGGCACGTTTCTCTATTTCTGTGAAAGAAAGGGAGTAGATACACTTCTTCTATGGAATGAGAATCAGAATTCGAAGAAATAGGTTGAAAAGTGAACCCTTATGAAAAGTAAGGGACTCACAATGTTAGTGTCACAATAATCAGTGTCAGCTGTTTTGCATAAAACACCCATCTACAGTATCCTAAAGTAATTGCCTTAAAATATATTAAAAACATAGACATGTTGCAATATTTCAAGCTAAATGGCCATTGACATTAGACGTATTGAGAAATCTTGGTTAGCATTATTGACTAACTTCCTCTGCATCCCAGTTCCTTTTTTTGTTAAAAGTCACAATTCTGGCTTAGAGAGACAAGGTTGACACAACACACATGGAGTACCAAACACGTCTCAAATAGCCAGTTTACAATACAGCAAAAAATTGGTGTAGAATCTCAACCATCCTTTACACATCTGTGATTTGAAACCTCTCCCTAAGCGTCACATTGAGCACTTCACAAGAAAACCCAGCCTTTAGGTCAGGAAATGTAAAAGCACAGGTTGTGGTGGTCGGGTCACAGGGTCCCCAGTTCAAGACTCACTGCAGTTGTTCGCATTCAATCACTCACCACAAACTCAATCTACAAATGTCCCCCGTGAAAACACGAAAGAAGGGAGGAAACTCATACCTGGTGCTCTAAAACTTCACAGATTCACTTCAAGTCCAAAGTACACAGTGCATATTAGTATCCTCTGTTACACTGAGTTCACACAATGACAGCAAAGAGCAAACTATTGCTAGTAGCTCTTGTTTAAACTAAATGTTTGTCTTTGTGGGAGTGCGTGTCTCGTGTCTGAGTGTCACTGTGTTGCACCACACAAATGCAGCACATCTTGTTTTCCGGGTATCTGAGTTAACAGGCCGCTTGTGGGAGCTAGATGATGATAACCACATCAACCACAGTGCTGTGTGTAGGGGCGTGTGTGTGTGTGTGCACACACACACACACACACACACACACACACACACAGTATCTGAGTTCCTATTTGATTTGATTTGCAGATGTGAAAGGTTAATTCTTGTTATCTTCATATATCAGCTTGTTTTGGTTGCTGTAACGTTGCTAATTTAAGTAAATTACTCTTTGAATCTTTTTATTTTATTATTATAAATAAACACATGATAATCCTAACAAAAGGTAAACATTAATTTCACAAATTTAAAACATGTTCAAAAGCTGCTTGTTAAAATCAAGTAAATTAAAAAAGTTCTTAAAACTAACTGTTTCCTTACATGTTAAATTACATAAATGTTAAATCTGAATATGTGAAATACTATACGCAGTCTACAATCAAAACGACTGACATGAACATTCAAGTAAGTTTAGGAAAGTACAATATCCTTAAGTCCTATCAAACTAACATGAAGTCTTAGCGTAACCGTTAATATCGACCAACGCAGCCTGTTTGTTATGGTGGCCTAGCTAGCCACAAACGTTGCCTGTACGCAAAAAATGCAATTTTGGGCCGAACAAAATATATAATTTAACTGTACCTGCCACCATATTCTCAACGACTGAAGACTGGATCTAATGCTCAGCTCAAAGTCTGACCAAACATTGGCGAGCATGTCGAAATAAAACAAAGAAACTCAAAGAAGGCTCGGCTGGTTTCAGGTGCGCTCAGGACCCTTTGGGGTGTTACCCTCTTTCTTCACCTGAAAGGGCTTAACTCCCACCCAAACGCCCCCAGAGTGAAACATATTTTAAGTGCGTTATTTAAGTTATACGTTGGGACAACTTTTGAGCATTTGCAGGCATTGTTATTGTATTTCCCTCAAGTGATTTTACAAGTGTACGTGAATAAGTCCGCGCAGTTCCCACTTATGTCCGCTAGGTGTCGCCAAGTTATCGCTATGAAACAGACTTTTGAGCAACAATAACAATAAATATTTATTAGACAAATACATAAGAAAACACATGTAATTGAGATCATTATGAGACATAATCATGAGAATCCTTTATGGGTATCTTGAGAAATAAGGAGAAAAACAAGTGTTTCACGCTACAGTCTTTTTAAGGCTGTGGCCTGACTATCAACACCCTTCACTGGTTGGGTTTTTAGCCATAACATTACTGCTTCGAGCTGCATCTGTGCAGAAACTTGGATGTTCCCCTTCAAAGTTGGCCTGTGCTGAGATAGCGGTAAACCAGTAGACACATTCTTGATTCCTGCATTATTATAGTCTGCATTGCATTTCTGCCTAAATAGACAGGGGCCTCTTCTCTTTCCACTTGCTATTGTACTGCATCAAGTGAACTGACCCCGTCCCTTTATATCTCTCACATTCTCACACTGTAGCTTCCTCTCTGCCTCCCCTTCCATTTGTCACCCATTTTTTTTCATCCCTTGTGTTACCCCCTCAAAAAGCTTCCCCTTTGACATTTCTATTAAACGTGTTGAATTAAATTAAAGATTTCAAAACAATTTACACTCTTCCTGTGTCTATGATGAGGGGAAAAAGTCCCAGCATGGCACTTTAGTGGGTTTTAAAGGGCCATTTTGCTGAAGCTGTGTTCGGGTGGAAGTGAGGTAATTTTGCCTGCTTCTCATGTCAAAGGCCTGAAGGATTCACGAGAATGCCAATTGGTCACACCATTGTAACGCTCAATCTCCCATCACGATCCATGCTGAGAATTGTCATGGCACTTAGCTAACGCCCAACCCCCTCCCAACCAGAAACTGTGTGTGACGGAGAGAAATGAGAGAGGGGGGCAAACAGAGTGGCTATTATTCAGCAGGGGAATCTCATCACACAGCGTAAAGGGGGAAGGGTGCAGGGCTGGAAATGATATCAGATTCTTGCTTGCTCAGTTTGACAGCGCTGCATGCCCCTCACTTGATGTTGCCCTGGCACATGGGCACCATCTCAGTTTAGATGTTGCTACACATGCTCACTGAGTCAGTATCTCTAAATGCTGTTTTGATGACTGTAATGAGGATTTTTAATAACATTTAGTTTTCTTCTATGCAGCAGATGTATCGGTATATAAAAGGAACACATACAAATAATCCAAAAGGGAAAAAAAGCAGTAAAACACTCCATTCATAACTTTCCTCCCAATTATTTCCTGGGTCATCTTTTTTTATATCCTGCTTACTGAAATAAACGGTTCTTTTGAAAATTATTGAGTGTTCTTGTATTTTAATGTGTGAGATTTTTATATACCTCGGGACTGTGGGAAACAGAATTTCGATCTTTCTGTGTGTACAAACATATTTTGAGATTGACAATAAAGTTGACTTTGAATTTGATATAGCTGCTGACAGAGGGGTCAAGGTTTTCTTGTTTGGTGCAACAACAAGTTGCCATTGAACCATAAATCTGAACAAATGGGATTTGTTCACATTCCGCCATTGACTTTGGCTTAATCCATCTGACCACCTCCGGGGTGTATGTGCTGCTAAGGGATTGACAGTAACTCATATGTATGGCCCAGAGGTGTGTGCAAAGACAGCAAAGAGATCCTTAGTTTACCCTTTAGGTCATTTCAGTTCTACACCTGCCAGAGTCAATAGATGCTGAACAATTTCCACTTTTAGCACGTTCGATGAGGAATAGGAAATAGAAAATAATCTATAGCCATGCTAGCAGCTCTGTGAGGAACTGCTTCGAGCTACTTACCCACAGTGCTTATCTTTGGCATGTTCAGCATCTTTGTTTATTGTGGTAGCATGTACGCTTTTTGCTAATTAGCAGCATCAAACTCATAGCAAAGGTTATGTAATATTATTTTTGGTAATATTGAGCTAACAAAAATACTGCAAGATGAAACTTTAAAGGGGACATATCTTGCTCATTTCCAGGTTCATATTGTGTTTTGGTTTTCTACAAGGACATGTTTTCATGCATCAATGTTCAAAAAGCTAAATTTACTTTCTCATAGTGTCAGTCTGAAAATACTTATACGTATTAATGGTCTGACTGAAACGTTTAGTTTTAGCATCTGTCTCTTTAAATATACTCAGGTGGGAGCCTGTATATTCTAATAAGACTGTATTTGACAAAGGAAGGAAAGCCACATTTGGATGGCTGGCTGAGAACCACGTTTTCTAACCAAGTGGGCAAATATAAAACTAAATTTGGTTGTCTTTTTAAAAAAATGTGTTGGTTTTTGGAAAGCATTCTAAATACATAAATATATGTGCACAATCACTGGGAATGTGAGTTTTTCACAATATTCCTCCTTTAAAGAATCACCAAAGTTCTTTAGGACAATCCATGCAATAGTTTTTGAGACATTTTGCTCAAAGTGAATAACGAAAACCCATGGGCCTACCAAAATGAGTAGGATTAATCCTCTGAGAACCATTATTATCTGTACAAAATGTCATAGTAAACCATCCAAAAGTTGGTGTGATATTTTGGTCTGGACCAATGTGGTATACCAACATTGCAATAGGGAAGAATTCACAGTGTCGACTCAGACTAAACATCTTCAAGGCCTGCATGTTTTATTACTGTACATTGGCTCTGGTGGTTTGTGTCGAAAAGAAGGAAAGTGTCTGCGTTATCATATCTGTGAGCAAAATAACGAGCCTGTAATTGAGGCTCTTAGTTTCACCTCCCTCTACCAAGGCTGAGAGCAAGTGGCATTCCTTACATTGCACAACTTTTTGACCATATACATCTATCTGGTGCAGGATTGATAGCATTCACTTCAGATAAACCCAACAAAATATACTTACTGCTTGGGAGAAGGACCAGGATCGTATTTGTGGTTGATTATACCTGTAAGAACAAAGTAAAGATAATGAAAGTCAACACTTAATGATTTTTAAACGGACCATTAAAGCTGATCAAGCAGTTCTAAGACGCTTCATCTATCCGTCATACTTTAGATCAGACATTAGCGACTTCAGACTTCCAACACATACTTATTGCTTCCCAGACGTGATTTTATCTATGCTCCAATGTATATTTCTTTGATTTAACCTGAACAAAACAGCCACTTGATCTGTAAAAGGACTGGCATTCAGCCACAGCTGCATGGGTAGACATGAAACTTGTTACTAATGATGAGAATACTCGATATACCTCAGCTGGGCCTCACTCTGCAATGAAATTGTCTTCAGCTTGTTCTTCCTGCAAATTAATTGCTAACATATTTTGTTTGGTCTTTATCCTATCATCCATATTCAAGTCTGTGTCTCCTCTTTAAATGACATATTTTAAGGAAATATGGTTTATTTGCTGCATTACACTGTCAAATATTTCTACTTTCCTAGGTAACCAAATTAATGGTTTTGCCAATTTACATATTGCATGCTTTGTCATGAGGAAAACAACTTTTTTTTTACGGATGAACACGCCATGATTAATTTGACACTCGATTAAATCTGCCGACAATCAACCCTCGCCTGCATCAGTGTTGCACGTTTATGAACTTACACCAGCGATGAGTCAACTGCGTATCTGCAAGAACTACAATAGCATCTCTCTATATATCATACATGTGAGTAATGTGTTTTGATGGAGCGTGCAGCAAACAGGATGCCATGTGTTTGTGTTTGGCTCTCAGAATAGAACTGCCAGGGAGGGCAGCAGGCTGGGTATTGTGCGAGAGGTTTAGTCATCAATCACGGTGTTAATGTGGGGAGTCACACCACCTCGGGCCCTACATCCAAGACCAGAGAAGATACAGGGGCCACTGATGACGAAAATGCAATCCTCGCCATATTTCGCAGAAGGATGCTGTTATTTATAGTTAGAAGAGTCAGGGTTTGTCATAACAGTGACATTTCTAAAGATTGTGCAGCGTGTGAAGGTGTCTGGATGGACTCATTGGTGTGTGGGAAGCGGTCCTGAGAGATAACAATGTCTCCAAAAACACAAATATAATTTTAAACAAGGCTGTAAAATGATTAACCATCCAAACAGTGGTGAAATGTTGGCGCTTCAACAAAAATATCCATCAACTCTTCTGCAGAGGTATGATGAAGTTGAGATTACTACATGTTTTAATACTTTCATCATTGTTAACTTAAGCCGATAAGACACGTTTTCAGACACATTTAAAGATTCTTTGCTCTGATAAGATAAGGAAATCTATTTTTATTCTTGGTGTAGGAAATCAGTTTCAATAATGTTTCCTAAGGCCACAAGCAAAAATGGACTAAGATTATTGAATATCCTGGCATTAAACAACTGATATACCATAACTCTCGATATTAACTTTACAGTTTTTACCTTACAGCTGTCGGCATCTGTTTCTCTGTTTCCTGAATGAATCTCAGCCTGGTCATCTATAGCATATTTTCCCTGATGATAAAAGCAGCCCACCCTGCACCCTGTGGCTTATTTTAAAAAGATTCCACGGCCCGCTAACTGTCACTCCCTGTAGGAAAATTAGACCCACCCTGTTCTTAGGTTTCTCTATTGGCCCATAAACTATAAAACACTGTATTTAAACGTGTTTTTGTGTGTGTGTGGTAGAGGGTGAGGAACTTACCGGTTGAGGAAGTCACTGCTAGAGTGCCAGTCAGGTCCCTGCGATAAATAAAGATTGACGTTAACGCATGTTGGAGACCAATCTTGTATAGTTGCACTGAAAGCCTCAGTTTGATTAAAATACGCAAAAATTCCCTCAGGAATGCTGTTGATCATTCTAAGATTGTTCTGTTGGTTTTGCTTATCCTAATCATTCAACATACACTCTCGAACTCAAATTAACTGTAAAACTGCAGCGTCTTATCTAGCAGGCAGCTAAATTGTAAATGTGTAAGTTGTAAATGTGGCATGTGGTCTTCAATTCACACATTTAGCTAATTATGTGTCGTTTCATGTCTTCTTAATAGGAAAAAAGGAAATGGAGAACACAACATTCTTTGGATTCAAATGTCGTTTTTGATCAAATAACAAACAATATTCCACATGCATATACAAGCCATAATTAATTCCCATGTGAGCGTTCAGGATGTGCAGGCATGATATGTTAGTGGTTAGTAAACTTAGCAGTAGGTTAAACAGAGTGCAGGTAGTATTTAGGCAGACCACAAGTTTTCAGAACGTGAAAATTAGTGAAGGACCGCAGGCGACTGGCTGAGCAAGCTCGGGCAGAGCGAGACACGAGGAAGAAGAAGAAGTGGATAGATAAGAAAAGCCCATCTCCAAAAAAAGTCATGCACAGAGAAACAGGCAAAGGGGGAAAGAGGGGGGGTGTTTTCGACAGCAGTCAGGTCTTCGGTTCCATGATGCAAAGCTGCTGATCTTTCCCCAGGCAAACACTTCTTCAAAATCAATGAAAACGGCCAAAGCTTGTCAGTAACCCTAACCTGGCTTTTAAATGTTTAAAAAGCAACATATGTGCAGGAATAAGATCCCCCGATGAAAAAACCTGCTTTGACCATACGGTCCCCCAGCTGGAAGTTAAAGTTCATCAAAGAGGGAGGTAGTTGCATAAGCATCACCATCTGAGACACGGAGAGAAAGGTAGCTCGACATTAGCTATCCTGTTTCACCGCATGCTTAAAAACCCCAAGAGGGTTCACCTCAAAAGGTCAAAGCAGGTTAGAAGCCCGCCACTTCAATACTTTGGTCCTGAAGGTTAATAATGACTTAGGCTGCCCTCACTGACAGTGTTATTATAAAATATGGCATTTCTGTGATACTTAAGCAACATAGTTTTTAGGATATAATAACATCCTATTGTAGTTACACGTTAAGCAGAAATTCCACACCCAATGGTAAAATAAAGACAATACAAATGATCACTGACATGAACTGCAATTTTTAATAAAAGGCTATTCAAAACTTACAAAAGGCAGTTAAAGCAACAACAGACACTTCTTCCCTGTTTTAAAAAAAAATAATACTGTCATTCTGTCTCTTGTGATCAGTCAGAAAATAGAAGGCCGTTACACCAGTGTGTCAAAAAAGACATTGGCTTAAAAAGACCATTTATTACTGTCAACCAGCGGTATGTGTAGGCCCTTTAGGTGGTATCATTTCAGAGACAACTGAGAACACAGGATATACAAGTTTACTGAAATGGAGTGCATAGCTTTAAAACCAGCACAAATATTTGCTAGTATAAACATCCTTTTTACAAACCAATGCAGCATCGTCAACTAAAGTGACCATTAAATCCTCTCTGAAGTATGTGCATAGCTTACAAGAGGCAACCTTTGGTAGAGGGTCATGTAACCAACTGACAAAAGTGTCATTTGAGAAAGAAAAAAAGGGACATGGTTGAGTTAAAGCAGTATTACTAACAAAATATGCTGTATTCTTATAACTTATTTATGCAAATTAAATCAAAATAGCTGACGAAATATCAGGCAAGTATTAAATAACGGTACCAGAGAGCATTACAACTGAAACATGAAATAGCTTAATATGTACAGAGGAGTCCGTAGACAGCACAAAAGGCCAGAGCGTCCTACACCTGAACAAACTGTGTCTTCTTGAAGCAGAGATTGGACTTGTAGTCAGAGACGAGGAGGGTTGTAGGCAGTGTTAAAGGGGTGATGATGTAATGTAGTACTACAAAAGCAGGTTTGGTTGAGGAGTAGTAGTTGGTAGTAGTAGTTACACCAGGGAAATATGGAGGTTTGGGGGGAGAGAGGAGTGTGAGAAAAAGCCCAAAGCTGTTAAAAAAAAAAAACAGCTGGATTTTAAAAAAGGCACTGAGGAAGGACAATAGACAGGAAGCCCCGGACAGGAAGCGCATCATCAGTGAGTCAATAGCTTAAGCCGCATGATCCAACTGACCAGTAGGGAGCGATCTGCCGTGGCGCGCTTGGAGGCGGGACCTACGGGGGTCTTTTTCAGGTCCTCCTGGTAGGGGATGGTGGCGCTGTTGTGGAGGTCTGAGTTGGAGTAGTAGCGGCTGCCCCTGATGTGGTCCACTCTGACCAGGTGACGCTCCCCCGCAGGCCTGTAGGGGGGGGACACCGAGGGGGACACCGAGGGGGCCTCCTCTGCGATGGTGGGGATCCTCTCGTTGCTCAGGTATCTGTGGAGGAGGTCTTCACCTGAGGTACAGAGACAACCAGAAGTCAGATTGATACCACTCAGATCTGTCATTCAATATGGTACTGAAGATAGCAGCTAATTAGCCTGGTTTACCATAAAGACAGGAAACGACTAGCCTGGCTCTGAGAATTTAAATAATGTACAATTAACTCAAGCATATTTAAACATCTTTTATGAGATGCATCTTATGGTCAAGGAAGCTCTGTCTATACATAGTCACGTTTTTATAATTGGTTGTAAATGTACCATTATTAGCGATAAATATGTAATAATCTTGATTCTGGCCTGTTAATGTTCCCAAATGTCACATCAGTAGAGTAATGAGTGTATTGTGCCATGGCTCTGTTTTGTAGCTTTATTGTTCATTATCTGTTTGGAACACGAGGGTAAAAAGAGTTCAAAAAGTGTCAAACCACAAAAATGTAATCCTTTAAAAGTTATACGTTTTGGGGTATACAAGGCATCTTCATTTCTATGGAATTATAGTGGTTTTGCATCAAAGTGAAAGCATGCTTGTCAATACCTTTCCTTCCCTGTGTCCAGGGCTTAGCGTAGGGGTCTACCACACCCAGGCAGGTATCCACTGGCATGGAGAGGGGCCGGGGCTTCCCTGGAGACAAGAGTTTAACATTGCATTCATTTAATATCATATTTATTCATTATCCACTGTTGGAAAGTTTGGGAGATTTGAAGGTTAGAAATGATGACTGACCACGCGAGGGCTTGTGCTCCCGCAATCTGCTCTGGATCACGTTGGCCTCGATGGGACAGCCGAAGCTCAGCTTGTCGTATTCTGCGATGGTGCAGTGCCTCATCCTCTCCTGGTCCAGGTAGGAGTTTGGAGACTCAGAGCCCTTTGGTCTTTTACTGACACTGATGCTGCTGAAGGTTTCTGTCCTCCCCTCTCTGTGTGGAGAAACAAATGCTCATTCATTCATTACACCACAACTTCACAGACCACAGTTGGCAGCATAACACCATTAGGATGGTTTGTAAGCAGAATTATGCGTCTTTAACTCAATAAATATGATGTGCTAGAAACTAGAAACAAATACATTTAGGTAGGACTGAGTCGTTTCAGGAGTTGTTTATGTAGTTGATTTTCAATTTCTACATTTTTGTTTGGCTACGCTAATCACTATTATCATGCTATTTTTGGAAAAAGCTTTCTGCGGTGGCTGCGTAGGATTGTTTCTGACTTTTAACATTCCCAATAATTCCAGAGCATCAAAAAGTCAACATTTATAGAAAAAATGAACATAAGAATGTTTTTACATCATTCCATATGTGTTGACTTTGAGCATTTCCAAAAATAAATATTCACTGCAGTCAAATAATGGTTTGCTCTGGCTTGATGAGGTACAGACCTGAATTAACAGTCTTAACTAGCAGCAGCCTAACAGAAGCATAAATTATATTTATATTACAAAAAAAAGGGTTGATGATGCCTCGAAATCTGACAACAGACATTCAAAGCTTCATTTAAAAGGCTCAATAGAAGCGTTGAAGTGAGTGTGACCACGTTCTGCTCTCTTCCTGGAGGTGGAAGATGAAACAGCCGTTGCGTAAGAACTATGGGGGGACTGGTGGGAGGGGAGTGGGCTGAAGACAAGCTGAACACAATGTGCTGTAGGAGGTGAGGGAGGGGAGGTGATCACGAGTCCGGGACACACTCGTTCTACATCTGATGTGTGGTGAGGAAATGTGGCAAGGGTTGAATGTATAGTGGATATGTTTGGAGTTGATTCATGGATTATTTCTTATGCTGCAACTTTAGAACTCAACGTATTAAATACAACTAAAGCTTATGGGACAGCTTACCGTGGGGTGTAAGGCATTGGAGGAGGGGGGGGGATGTACAGGTTCAGGATGGCCGGCTTCTCCTTCTTGGCGGATCCGTTGGCCGAGCCGCAGGGAGATTGGGTTCTGATCAAGGAGGAATTGTTCTGAAAAAATAAACATCAATATCAGTTTACAGTTAAAAACAAATTAAGTCACTGCTTTCCGTTTCTTCAGACCAAATAGGACTTGCTGGCAACTAGGAGGAGTTGACCACATGTGGTGAGACGTTTAAGTGCTTGTGTGCGAGTAAAAACCTTCTTGTTTGAGGTGGAAAGATTGTAAGTGAAGTCCAAAATAGCCCGCGAGACATGTACTTAAAAAAAGTAGTCATTTACCACAGTTATGTTTTCCAACACTCAACAACATTGTGCCCTTGAATAGAGAACTAAATGATACGTCTGAAGTAGTCGATGTGATAAATAAATGACAAACTAAACATCAGATTTGGCATCTCATGAATCATTTCCCTCCTTTATTTTCCAAATAGCTCCCATGTGTACACATTATACAGTATTACAAAGCCAATGTCCTTCATTCCTGAATCAGGGTGTATGGTTTGTCTCCGCTCTGTCCTTATTATCGCAGATAGAGATGTCTAACTCTGATAACCTTGACTGCTTGTTAAAACAGGATGCTGGCAATGATGTTGACATTAGTGTTGAGAGGCTCTTTGTTGTTTTGAGAAACCCACTCTTGTCTGATATCTCCTCATCTTGCCTTCTCCGGCTACACATGATAAGACAAAACCAGAGGCTGACATGTTGGTAGTCTTGGTTAACAATGGGCTCATTGTCTGCTTGTCTGTTAAAGGGGACTCAGGTGCAAGAGATGTGGTTAAAAGCTAAGTTGAGCCTAATGTGTTCACGAGGGAGGAGAGCAAATTGGATTGTAGTCACATAACCTTATTAGCCCAATATTTATCAGCGACCCTTGACTTAGTTTCGAACAATAGACATTTGGAGTGTTTAATTTTTGTAAAAAAAAAAAAGACGGCGGGTAAACCCAAATAACATGAATCACCGCCCATGACCCATTGTCTATGGGATGGCAACATATGGGCTCTTTTTAACAAGTCAGATACAATCTAACCAGGCTACACTACTTAAAGAGGCCCTATCATACTTTTTGGGATGTCCCTTTCCTCTAGTGTGTTATATAGGTTTTTTTTTCATGTCAATGGTCAGCAAAGGCAAAAAAGATTTTAATTCACACCAGAGGGAGTTTCTCTCCCCCCGAAACGGCTCCATTGGACTCTTTTGTTAACTTCTGTGACATAGTGACATCACTACGTAACACATTTCTATTGGCTAGCCCTCCAACATATTTTACATGATAGGCTAAGGGAGGACGTCTCTAAGCGGATGACCAATTAAAACAGAGCCGGCCAGCTAACGAACCAGAGTAGACTGGGCTCTGGTTTCAGGCAGAGGGTGAAAAGAGGTGTAGAAGAGAAAAGTAAAGACCTTTTTGATTAATAAAGCATCTCAACATGTCACAATAGAGGCCCACAATACAAATATGAACCTGGAAATGAGCATAATAGGGCCCCTTTAAAGGCTGGCAGCTTTATATCTTAGACTTAATGACATCACAGGACTTTGTTTTCCTCGCGGTTGTGCATGAAGGACAACTCAATGTTCTATTCAGTGGAGCTGGCAGCACTCTCAGGGTGGCTCTGTGTCACTTGTCTGAACTTGCTGGTTTAGAAAACAACTCCCTCAAAAGCTGATAATTGGCACAGGCTTTTGTTGATCGCACATGATGACAGCAGGAAGTCTGTGTGCTTGTGTGCATGTACCTGTGGTACTGCGGGCTTCCAGCGCATGTTCTTGAGCAGGGCGGGGGTGAAACCTGTTGGGCCCGTGGGCCTCTTCTTAAGCAGTAGGGCCACACCTTTTGGGTCCTCCCGCAGTTTGACAACCAGGTACTTCAGCTGCCAGCCCACCTGGTTCATTGGAACAAACACAACAATTCTTCTTTAATATTCATAGTGTGCGCTCAAATTGACAAGATGTATGGTTAAATATAAAGATATACAAGGAGAAAAAAGAAACACTTACCACTGTCTGATGGTTGACCTGGATCACCTCATCGCCAGCATGGATCTTCCTAGAGAGGTCTGCAGGTGACTGAATAACAAACATAGTAAAGGTCAAACACCTGCTGCTAACACATTACTATTTACAAAACTGAGGAAATTGGAGCTACTTTATTTTGATTCCAACTGCCTCTAACATATTTTATTCAACAGGTTCAATTCGTGAGAAAAACACAAACACCCTCTGCGTGTATGAATATGAGATGAATTGTCACAGGGATGTCAAACGTGATAAACTAGGGATGATTCAGGTCCTGATTCACGATTACGGACCGTGGCAGTGATGCTGTGTGTTAGTCACTGACTGGTTGTCTCCGTGTGGGAAAAAGGTAGGACTTTCTTTTTTTGTGGAGGCTGTTTGTTTCTTCACTCCGGTACAGTCATAGGTAAATACCACAAACAATTCCCTTCACGGATGACTAGTTCTCAACTCCTTCAGATAAGTAAGTGTGCTCTCAGAAAGAGAATATGAAGAGGAGGAGGAGGTGTTTTTTAGTATGAGAAGCTTGGTCTTAAGATTAATGTGAAATAATATAGGGATTTCTAAGTTGGTCATTTAAAATGAGAAAAGACACATGACAAAGAATGGGCTACTTCCTCATTCTGGGGCTGAAATGGTCTTGAGGTCAGCATACTCACATGTTCTGTGGTTCCTGTGATGACATGCAACCCATCGTACGTAGACTTGATGTACATCCCCTAGGGAAAAAAGAAAACCCACATTTTTCAGTTGAGACATAATATCCCCAAAGGGAGAGAAATGTATGACATGATATGTGAGGGTCACATTTGACACACATTTCATGCATTCCCAGCCTGCCTCCATATGGCCGACATTTGATTTAGGGTGGAAACAAAAAATGAGGAAGACAAATAAAAAAAATCTCCCAGCACTCCTTACCAGGCCCTCTCCCGGTTTGATATTGTTCAGCTGGACCTCATCCAGGCAGGCTGACTGGCTCATGAGGGGGTCAGAGGTGGTTCTCACGGTCTGATCGCAGATGTTGTTCAGAATCTTCGACTGCAGAGGAAAAGGCATCAGTGAATAAAATAAGTAGTGCCTAATAAACGTATTACAGTGATTAAAAGCTGTGTTCTAAATATTCTATTGTGTGTGTGTGCCTTGTGTGTTGTACAGGTTGGAACAAGTCTTGTTACACTGCTACTCGTGACACATAGCACTTATCCTTCAGCACCCTGCACACATGCCTCTGTGTGTATGTTCCCATTTAGTGCTAGACTAAATGGGCAAAAAAAGAAGGGACCATTGGTGTGTGATTAAGTGGAAGAAGCAGCGCACACACACAACAATGAAATCAGTCCTTTGCACACCGCCCTTCTTTCTGCCTTGTTCTTTGCTTGTTTTAACTTTTGTCATCATAACAGGGGTCTTTTTCTGTGATGTCCACTCTTGCAATTTGTATGGACAATTGATATAAAATGAGCTTGAAACAAAAGAGGACGTTGACTCTAATATGGACTTTATTTGGGTTGTCTGAGAGAGAGACGGAGTGCTAGAGGAAGCTTAGCATTAGCCCAAGGGGTCTGGCGAGTGTCAAGAACAGGAAGTAGTGATTGATGGTCGGGGGCGTGTTAGAGCCGCCTCCTCTGTTGGCAATCCTTTAGACCAGTCTGCTGCATTCAGTCAGAAAACGGACCTTGCTACTCTGAGTAAAGGACACGTTTACCCAAACGGTCTAGCAGACTGTTTCCCCCCTGTGTAGAAACTTGAGGATCTCATGTAGTTTACTTTAGGACAGAGATAGAGTATACTTACAACTTCCAGGATCTTCTCTTCCATCTCGTAAACACTGCAGTCCTGTAACACAGCACACAGTGATGACAGATTAGGAGTGTGAGCAGTAAACAGCAGCACACAGGAAGAGGTTATTCAATGGATGGAGACAGAGAGAAGAAAGTATAGGGGTTGGGTAAAAACGATATAATGAGCATTCCAGATATAGAACTGAGGAAAATGGTGAACGGCCTCAAATAAACAGCTTTTAGATTTAAATGACCTCTCTTCCCCTAAATTCTGGGGGAAGGCTGCAACTGCAGCGATTCAGTACGTAAATACCATACTAACGCTCATATAGTAACAATGTGCAGATGACACGGTGGGAAACATTGGGTCAAAACATGTAATGATGTTCAGAAAGCCCTCATCCAAAGAGCGCTTTGGTTTTCCGCAAGTGTTTGGATGCATTGCTGCTTTCCACGGTGGAAAGTGGAGGGGAAATTTGAGGTTTCTCGTAGTCAGAAAAACACAGTAGTTGCCATCAACGATAGATTCTGTAAAGTCAGCTGAGACTGACCGTTGTCTCTTCCGAGGGTCCGCACACAGCACTCTTTAGACTGCAGCTGGACAGGCCACAGCTGAGGCAACAGCCTCCCCTGACAACTGTGTTGTTGGTGCTGAAAGGGCCCCTGGTTAGGCCGAGGCAGGGGGGGGTTCACAGTGCATGTGGGGGGTCATGCTTATTTACGAAATTGTCTCTATGCTGGGAAAGCCCCGAGGGAGGCCACGGATCAAAACACAGGTGAAATGCTTCTGTCAAAACTGAGAGAGCTCCGAAGATCTGCTTCAAGTGTCTGATATTTGTAGAGCCCTCACAGCCACAAGCCTTTGTGGAGGCAAAATAAAGGGCTACTGGTGTTGTGGACCTCGCAGTATTAGTGACATGCACAGGCATGTGCCAAGTACAAAGCCAGCTCTGTTGCTCTTTGTGAATTCATTGTGCAGACGGCGAATGGGGGTCAAGCAAGTTTTTCCATATTTCCATAGCTTGCACATTCCAACGGGCGAAAGGCGAGCCTCTGCTTCCAGACGCACTTGGCTTGTCATACTGTTAGTTTGCATTGACAGGATTAGCATGACTGTCTGTGGCCCTGAGCAATGGCCTCACATCAAAGCGGGGTGCATCCCGCTTTTGGAAGGCTTTTAAAGTATCATTCAGGAGGGGAAAGTTGAAATCCAATACTAACATTGAAAAACACACAAGGTTCCATTTGACGTATTTGTCCCAAACTCATGTTTCCTGAATAAAGTTCCTGAAGGCAGCCAAGAACATATGGTGGTTAAAGAAAGAATTTGGCTATACTTGCGTAAACATGTAACTGCATATTTCTTTTAGAGACTGGCCAATGTTTGGATGACTACACTCTTGACCGTGCCAAGAGGGATGGGATAAGAATACATATTTAGAGGCCGTGAAACGTATCATTATGTGCTGCAGACATGGCTTGGCATATCTCCCATTAAGCCTTTTAACATTTATGGGACATGCCTCAGGTTTCATAGTTCCATCAAATAATGTGAATACAATCGAGGATAATCCTTCTAAGATCTGTTCATGATACCCAAATGAATCCCATATCTTTGTCCAGTCCTTTTAGTAGAGAGGAGCCAGATCGTAAGTAAGCGCTGAGAGAGGCAGAGGGACAATTCCCTGGTTCTGCTGATCCCTTACGTTATGGACTTGATCCCACAGCCGGTGTGGATCAGATGACTGTGTGCTGCTCTTCAGGCCTTTGATCTGCCAACAGAGAGGATTTGCATGGACGGGCAATGAAGTGGCCGAGAGAGAGTGGTGCTGGCACATTGCGGGTGATGGGAGAGAAGCTGCCTTTACACCACTGGAGTTAAATAAAGACCAGGCCTTCTGACCTGGCCTACATCATGCAATCTCTGTTGTTATCGTTACAAAATAAAGAGATAGAAAACTTAATCTCTGAGCCAACAATTCTGCAGTGGGAAGTGCTGGTAAAAGACACGGGGATCGATGAAAAAATGCGCTCTTTGAGAGAGAATGACCTCCACGCTGACGGGTCAGCCAAGACGGGGTGATGCGTTCACGGTTTTATGGCCGTGTCCCATTGTGCATGTACACACAGGCTTCATTCAGGCAGAACACATAAATTGTGTGATCTGAAAAGCCCTAATTCTTGGCTGAAGTTCATGAACGAGCTGGGCAAGCCTCGCGCCGTCCTCCCCCGTCATAAAACTAACCACTGTGGCAGTCTCCTGCACAACCTGTTTTATTAACCAGGCGCTTATAGACTCTGGCCTACATGTTTTGAATAACAAATGGAGTCTACATGGTCCACATCTATATAAAAAAAGAAGGAGGCCAAGAGTCTTCTATAAGCGCCCTCATCAGTGTTTCTGCAGTTACATACTAAGCCGTTAGCTAGTTTGAAGATGCCAGAGGACCAAACAGCATCCCTCCTCCAGTTGTTGCAGGAAACTAATCTCCAGTCTTACTAGACTCTTTCAGCACCTATCAGGAGTTTATTCTACACCATAACCTCCCCACTTCACATGGCAGTGTGGGAAATGTAAACCCCCCACTACTTCCCCTGGATGACCATGACCGGGACACCCAGGGTAAATCACCAGAGGCGCTGAAATCCCAGACTCTGGTGTGGAAATAGGCACTCTGGGAAAGGAATTTATTTTGATGCAATAACCCTCTAAAAAATGACACCTGCAGTCCCAGCAGCCACTTTTACTGGCACTGTAAAATGAGTGGCTTAAGTCAAACCCTTTAGGGAGAAGATATTGTACATACAAGGCTTTGACACTAAAGAAAAGGCCAATAACAAGCCCCCTTTGTTTAAGACATATGTATGACCGACTTCTACAGGTTGTCTGATAATAACAGAACACGACATCCAACTGTGTCGTGATGCAATGCTTGAGCAATGCTCCGCAGAAAGTGGCGAATATAGTGGATGTATGTTGGTTTTAACCGTCTATCTGGCAGTCAGATGGACCACCTCCTCATCCCCACATAAACCTATAAACAGGAAGTGCTTTCAGACAGTTTGGTCTCCCACTGCGAGCGTCTTGGAGAAGCAAAAATGTGAACCACATGGCTGACGGAGAACGGCAGCCTGGGGAATGTTGGCAACCACCTTTAAGAGCACCAGTGGGTTTTATGAAACTGGAAACACAAAAGTGACGGTTACCATTAAAACGTCCCCACACTGGGGGTCTCCTCATTAGCCAGCGTGAGGAGGGAAAAGAGCCCAAGAAAAACATTTGCAATAATGTGCTCGGAGTGCTGGCTTCAGGCTCGTGCCATGGATGCCAGACCACATTTCTCATAACTCTCTTCTCTTGCATGTCTGTGCCCTGTGGTCCGTATGTGCTCAGTGGGAAAACCTATTGTGTGTGTGTGCTTCCCAGGGACTAGCTAGTGCACATGTGCTGCTGAGCTAACTAGCATGCAGACCTGTTGAACTGTGGTGGTGAGCTCCAGGCACAGCTGAATGATCTTGTTCTTGGTGGCTGTGAAGTCGCTGATCCCTGTAAGAGGCGTCCTGCAGGCAGACAAAGAAGGAAAGGGAGAACATTAGGGACAAGGGAAGGACTGCAGAGTTGGGTTGAGATTCAGTCATTCAAACCGCAAAGCCGCAACATTTCAAATTCAAAGCATGTGACAACAATGCTAGATATTTATTGCCACACTCAGTGGTAGTGTTATTACTCAAACATAAAAGCTCATTGATACATTTCCCTCTGACAATGTTCATTTTTAAACAACACCGTCAGAGGTATTAGTTTAATTATGTGTTTATTACTGAGAATGTGTTGTAGTTTGCAGTGGATTACAATAAACTATGAGAGGCGTTTCTGATATTTTGCCCAACTCAATTAAAACACGACGAATAATATTTTACAAACATCTAAATGTAATACAGTCCTGTACAACACCACCCCTAACTAGGACTTAGTAATATACAGTATATACTGCCAAGTACGTGGGTTAAACTCCCAAACCCGCAGAACATTTCAGGGAATGTCATCCATCCCCTCTATCTCCCCTTTTGAACTCTGTACCTCCAATTAAGGCACTCTCAGGCCAAAAAGTATCTTTAAAAACAACAAACTATGACTTGAGTAATTAACACTTCCCTGAAAGTTTGAACACAAATTGGCCATGTAAAGCTTCATTAAGAAAGAACACGTGGCAGAGCTCTTGCACCATAATAAATTAGACTATATGTATTTTGTAAAGTGTGCAGGAAGAATACGTCTCCTGTGATTTACTGCAGAGTCAGCTATAACCTACTTACACTATACTTTATAAGAGACTCAGTGAACCTTGCTCTGATTGCAGTGTGTGGGTGACTGACTTGGAACTCAAGAATGTCACCTTTCTGGCGCCATTGTATCCCCTTTAGTGTCCCTTTTCCCCCTAACGTCAATCCCCTAATCAACAATAAACAAAATAGCATGATCTATACGCAGCATAAGCACATTGACTAACTTTAGCACAACACCTTTAGACTCCGTTTGCTGCGTCCATCTCACAACTGCCATTTAAATCATGACATCATTTACCCGCTTTCGCCTAGTGTCCCACAAAGAGAGAAGCTTAATTGTCAGCCAGCTAACATTAAATCCTGGCAAACTGCTTAACGTGCGGTGCTTTTATGGTGTGATGTGGAGCAGTTCACCAGGGGACTCTTCCAACTTCAGCTGCAAAGCAGACGTAGCATTTCTTCTTTTGAAAGTGTATGTAGTGTTCATTACATTCTCTATATGTGACAGACGGGTGAGATGGGAAGGGGTTTCGTTGAGAGGAAATGTGGAGAACAGGTAGGAGACCATTACCATATACAGAAAAATGTTTAGGGGGCCGAGATTCCCGTTCCTTCCCTACAATCTATTGAGGCTCATTTAGTGTTGGAAGAAAAATTATCGGTATTTCTAAGTTTTTACCTGTCGAGCCAAGCCAAGAGGCTCTTGGCGGCGCCGATCAGCTCTACCACAGAGGTGAGGAAGTCGTTGGGGGGCTTGCGAGAGATGCTGCCGTCGTACGCTGGGCTTTTCCTGCGGTCAGACGTGGCCATGTGTAGACTGTTGGTGGCGGCTCTCATCCTCACAACCAGATTCTTTAAGTTGTCCGTCTCTACCCCGAAGTTCTGAAATCAAAACACAATTTTTTAAGTAGGCGATACAAAACAAATAAAACACTAATTATTATAGGTGAAAGGACATTTATTGGCAATACACTGGAGATCAAAGCTCTTCTGCACAGTCCAGACCTGGGAGCTACTTGCTGAGTGGAGTCTCCTTAACAGGTAAACATGTTGTTTCCTGTGCAACCAAGAGCTGTAATCTTTTCTTTGACATATAAAATGTAAGTGCACTTGTCTGCCATGAAATCCCCCCTTCCAATCCCAGGTTTGTTCCACGCACGTGCCATCACATGATTCCAACCAAGCGGGGCAAAGTTTGCATTCTTTAGACGGGGTTGTTTCCTGCTTATGCATTCCTGCAATTTGTTAGGTTATTCACATGCAGGAAGCAGCAGAGCTTTATCTTCAAGGGTCACCAAGTACAGTACAGATCAGCTTTTAACTGAACTACTGCATGATACCGAGCTGCAACAATATGCATATTTTTAGGTTTGAGGGGAAGAGTGTGTGTCTGAGAGCATTAGCACTTAGAAAGGACTTTGTTCTGCAATGTTTTGACTGGATAAAGTGGTTAGCGAACAATGTGTTGCTTAAAGGTAAGCAGAGAGAGGGCAGGCTGGCCGGGTAAATATCAGCTTACATGGTGTTGCATCGCTGCCAACACTGCTGCTGTATGTGTGATGTGCTTGCCAGTAGCTAAATATGCTTAGCAAGGAGTAAAACAGCACGTGTTAAGGAAATAACGGAGATCTGTAAGTGGTTAGCGTCTACTTTTATTCCACTCCAAATATACAAATCATTTCCCTCAGTCACTCTAAAAGGAATCACTGCTTAACTGAACTGCTCAAACAGTAGCTGCAGGAAGAATAACTTCGACATTTGACATGAGATGGATTGTTTAAACATCATAGAAGATAAGCAAACATACGCAGGGAATATAAGGTAATGAAGAAGTCATTTGGTTTGTTTTCCCGCTCAGTCCTCCACACAGTGAGCGTGGAACAGTAGCACAGAGCAGTGCGAGTGTTTTCCAGATCAAACGTCTCTCCTGGCTTTTTCGTTTGCTAATCACACAGCCACAGCAGCTCTAAGTGGCCCACAGATGTCCAGCGAGCTTTCGTCCCTCGCTGCCAGCTGAGCTCAAAGCCACGTCTGAGCAAAATCTGTGGTTCCAGCCAAATGCAATTTTTCTCATAACTACAATTCAAGCCAAATGTACATGCTTCCAGTGCCTTTTTATAGACATCAAGATCATCTAGAATCAAGATGGAAGGAGCTTCTTTTTTTTTTCGTGCAGGCTCTAGTTGGGGCTCTTTGAAGGGACTATATACTGGGTTAAGTGTCTTCGGGAGAAATGGAGAACGGCTATCACAACACAGCACTTCCTGCCCTCGCCACAGGCATTACATGGATCTGCCTCGACTATAAAAGATAGATACAAACCTCTGTAGCCTAGACAGAGACTGAGTACATGTGTGTTGCTACACTGTGCCATCTAAGGTTAAGTGTTTTGATTTACTAAAGGGACAAGATGAAATACATTTTACAGCAGCTCTGTTGCTCACGAGGCTGGAGGATCTGTCATATGCTGTATGTTTAATGGCTGCTGATGCATGTGAATGTCATGTGAGCAGGGCGCTGGGGTCTGAGTACAAATAAAGAAGTGTTGGGTTTCAACACTGACTCCAGAAGACACCATGGCTTAGAAAAGTCCAGTATAAATAAATAAAATGTTCTCTCTTTGTCTCTTAGGCCATTGATCATAATGTAAATGCTATAGGTTTAAAACGCTTCAAAGGACAGCTTATGCTTGACTAAATATTTAAGATGTGTGCACATGTTTAATCATTTAAAAGAGGAAAGGCCGAGTAGTAAAGTGTCACAAAGATGAATGTGACTGCAGCAACAGGAAGTGTCTGACCTCACAGTAAACAAAAAGAGAGAGTTGGGGAGGGTGGGGGTGTGAGAGCGTGTGGGGGTTTCGGGGGTTGGTGGCCTCTGTTTCTGTCGGTAGTAGTGACCTTGCCACAGCTAATTGAATCGGGGGCCTCACTTCCTCCCACGAGGCCTGTGGAAGACCAAGGCTTCATTCTTAATAAGGAAAGCCCAAAACTGACAAAAAACGTTAAGCCGGACTGCGTCAGTGAGGGGGGAAAGGTTGCTGAGAGTCCAGCATTCCTGGCGTAAGTATAAAGGCACAACTTCGATCCTGTGTGTTAATGTCTTGATATTTTTGTTATGTTTCTGTGTGGACCCCAGGACGTATCAGCATCAGCTAGAGGGGATCATAATAAATACAAAGTTACAAGGAGGCAGGGGGGAGGTTCAAGACACAATGTGCCAAATGCTCCGATACTAAATTGCATCAGACTGTACAGGGCATACAACACGTATGCACAGCACTACAAACACATCTTGGTAGAGGGAATCAATGTAAAATGCAATGACTTGGAATAACAACATCATGCTGAGGAAGCACTTTGGAGACCACATTTAAAAGGCTGCATGATAGGGAAATGACTTAAAGGTCCCATGTCATGCTTTTCCGGTTATTACCCGTCCCCTTGTGTGTTATGTAGCTTTCTATGCATGTAAATGGTCTGCAGAGTCACAAACCCTCAAAGTACACCCTGTAGCGAGTAAAACTCTAACACAGAAAGGACCTGTCTATGCTGCCCCAGAATGCCTCTTTTTCCATTGTTTTCCTCCTGGGTATGGTGACGTGCCCATACCCAAAAGGACCAGTCCGTGGAGCTCCAGAAAATGTGACGCGCT